CCCTTTCTTTGGAAGTAAAATATGGGTATGTACATGTACAGTGCGTGTTACTATTTTATTTCAGGATTTATTTATATCCAGGTGTGCACTGAGTTTGAAATGATGGTTGGTTAGGGGAAAATGGATTTGATGAAAACAAATTGGGAAAAATATTTACCAATCATCATGAGCACAACAGATGAGTCGACATCGCCATCTTTGCCAGCTGTTCTTCAAATTCTAGATAAAAATTTTCGTTGTGCGCCAACATACAAACAGCATGGGATATTTCAAATTTATGAGGTATAATACAAAATGTAAAAGACTGTCACTCGTTTTACTTACATGTGCCTTTAAAAAATTCCACTGATATTGACAGTCATTGTCGATAGCACCTTCCCTGAACCACGACTTGTACTTTTTGAAGGAGACGCTAGTAGTACTATCACACAAGGCTTTATAGTAGCTGAAAAAATGTAATTTTTAAAGTCACCAAATTCTCTGTTTTTGAAGGTCTTGTATCACTCCTGGCTACATAGTACATATTTCATGTCAACTACCCCAAGTTCATACCTGCATCTTCCTTGCTGTATTTCATCCAAGAGCATCTCCTGAAATTTAATGATCCTGCAAGTAAAAAACCAGCCAGATACGAGGCATTTATCAATACTTTAAAGAAGGCAGCTGACCAGGAAAAAGAACAATTGATAGAACCATAGAACCGTGTATCATAGACGCTAGAACAGACCCATATTGGAATATTTACTAGAAGAATGCAAAACATTAAAGGGGTGAGCCTAAGCAAGCTATAGATTATGTGCTGTATGATATACATATCTGAGCTATCAAAGCAATTGCAGATGTCTAAATTCAGTATCTCGTACTCATCTTGCTTAAATTAAAGTTATCTTGCTTATAGTTAGAAGCAGTCACTGAAAAAATCATGTTTGAAGATTGTATATCTGCTTTGTTAACCTAGGTTTGCTCCTAGAGAAGAAACATCACCTAGAATAGATCTCATGATGCATGCAGCTAGCAGTACCATACAGTGCAGCTTTTTCACTTGCATTCACCTTAGCAGAATCCTTTATACCAAGGACAGACTGTATATCTGCTTTTCCAACTTTTATTCTTGCTAGAGAAGTTTCAGACAGCAGTTTAGCCTTATCTAGCTGACTGTTTCCTGCAAAATAAGCTCAGTCTTGCTTATAGCTGCCATTTTATCATGGTGACCACACCTGCTTTCAATGAAGATTAGGCTATTTAACTTTTATAATAGTTAAACGACCTCCCCGTACATACAGACAGAGGTTTTCTCGGGTCCTCACTTTCTTACTGACCAGACTGACTGACCAATCCAATTTCACTCTTTTACAGACTGACCATCACTGACCAAGGAGCACAAGTAGCGTTGTAAAAAGGCTTTCATTGACCAAAATTTTAGCCTAGGAATGAGCAGTTTGGTAGGCCCTTTGAGCAGTTGGTAGGCCTTTGGTTATACTGAAGACTGTATTACATGATTAAAATTCATGAAGGGGCATGGTCAACACCCACTGACTTCTGGTTTAACAGTTGCAACTGCAGCGCGACTTGGTGGGTGTGGCCACAAATGGCTGCCAAATTTTTCATTTTTGAAACAAAAACAGCAGCAGCCCAGAAACCAGAGAAAACAAGTGACAAAAACTAGAGAGATGACCTGACAAGCAAAGACGTGCGTGTACAAACAGCAGGAAAATGTAATTATGTCTTAAATTTACTGTTTCTTTAATTATTATACAAATATTTGTCTTGAAATTATTTACTGCTTTTTTAATCATTATAGTAGTAGGTGTGTAGGTAACTAATACTGTGTTTACACTAGCTTTTTTAACTGAGCCAGCCCTGTTTAAAGTTGGCCAGCATGGTTTCATTTGACAGTGTAAACAGTAACCAAACTGAGCTGAAGTGAGCTGGGCCAAACCAGACCAGCATGGTTAGTACAGGAGGGCCAGCTCAGCCTGGTTCAGCACGGTATGGCCCACTTCTGTAGTGTAAACGCAGCATAAGTGGTACAGGTAGAGAGACACTATATGAGCGGGTATTGTTCTACTGGAAATTTTATTGTTAAATGCCTTCTGGTGTGGACCGTCAAATTTCTTTCTCCACATGAATTCTGGCAGGTATGTATGGAACAGCTGAGAATGCAAAATTTGCGTTTTTCTCACCATCCGTTTGCACTGACTCGACATTAATTCTACAGACTTGGTGTGTGCTCCTGTTACCGGGTCAACAAAATGTTGGGAGTGGTTGACAGTATGATGGGTATAGTTCTGACCCAGTAACCTAACCAAGCCATTATATGCTCCCCACAAATCACTGTATATGACACTCCCTATACAGAAAAGAATCAAAATTATAACTGAACGTGTCATGTTGTACCTGGCCGGATAAAACTAGTGATAATTGGAACTAATGTCAATGCGTCTCTCGTGTCAACTTTAACAAGAAATGAATTCCCTGTGTATATACTTACAGAAGGCTATTATAATTTTGTTATGGGATAAAGTTCTAATATATATATTATTAAAGTGCATAGAAATAGCTGTATGGCAAAATATCATATAAATTAATAGACAAACTATGTAACTGATTACACTGCATGCTTTTTTTACAATTGTAATAGTATGAGTTTTCTAATTTTACATGTGATTGTTTGCTGTAGTTGTTATTAGTAGACTGAAGACTGAATTGGAACAGTATCTGCATAATGTTTATATCAGCGGACTAAATCCATTTTTCATTGTCTTTCTTTAGTGCTTTTGGACTACTTTCGTTGTTAGCTTTCTTGTATGTATAATTATTTCTCAGAGTATTAGGAATGAGATTTAAATGAACATTACAGCACAACAATTAATATTACCTAACAAGTGTGACAGTTAAATATCAGCTCTACATGTCAATTATGGAGAGAAAAATTTTTAAAAAGGGTGAGGTACTCAATGACCAAGTCAAAGAACCTCAATAATAGTATACTAATTTCAAAGTACACCCATGGTTATATTTCTCTGGTTTCTGGCCTGCTGCTGTTTTTGTTTTTACAATGAAAAATTTGTGGGCACGCCCATTGACCACACCCACCGAGTCGCAGCGCAGTTGTGGCTGTTAAACCGGAAGTATGTGGGTGTTGACCACGCCTCTATGAATTTTAATCAGGTAGTACACAGTCTTCAGTATAACCAGGCCCTTTAATGAGGCCAGGTTGGATCTTCAGGCTTCACTGACCACTGACACTCAACACAAGCAGCTTATACGTAGTCAATTGATGCTATAAAAACTTTAGAAGTAAACTTTTTCATACTTATCAATGAGCCAATATTTTAATTAACCCTTTTCTATTAACTATTTGTCATGATCTATAATACTGAATTATTTGATACATGAAAATGTTTGTGCCTTTATTATATTAAATGCAGAGGAGATTTGCTAATCAAATTTCTTTGCTATCAGGTGTGTTAAAATCTGCAATGAGAAATTAAATTTATTATGACTTGATTACATCAAGTTGAACTTACTTCAGGTACAACAATTGCTTTCATAATAGTACTAACAGCTGGGACACACTTTTTTAATGTCACATTCTAGACCGAGTAGATAGTACAATATTTCAAGACCCTATCAATCATTGGATAGTTAAAACTATACATTGTTGTAGGTAAATGATACTATATCGAAGTATTCAACTGGCCAGAAATTAGTCCCACCTATGTCGTGTTTTTTTCAGAAATTCACTTTCATTCCAAAACAACCCTTCATTTGGATTCAAATATAGATATCTCACTTTGTCCTTACAATTATAAACAGTCCATGTGTCATCAGTTATATTATTTTACATACCTCTAGAGATTTCTCGGTACTTCTGATCAAATCACTCTCAAACAAAACATTCGTCCTATAATTACATGTCATGCACTGTTATCTGCATTGTAGCATTGCCCTTTACTTCTCAGGTCTTGGTAGTTTTGGATAATCTTGGATATAGGTTTTATATACCCATGTGGCAACTCACTAATATCATCTGGGTTATCACAGCTATTGAAAAAAGTAGGAACAAGCAGATTTTCCTTTTGGAAGACTTGATATGATTCCTTCTGGAGTACTGTGAGAGACAGTAAAACAATAATTTTTTTCTCATTACCAACATTCATCAAGGTTATCAGTGTTATTATTGTCTTCATCAAGGTCTTCTATTGTTTCCTCAGATGGATAATTTCTTGCCTATACAAGAACATAAGTAAATTTTAACAAAAACCGCATGTACAAAAAATATAGCAATGGTTAAATGACTATTATAAGCAATTTAAATGATTCTTTTATCATGTACTTATACCATGGTGCGTGGGTGGTTACCATGGAAACCTTTGATGTTTAGAGGGAGTTATATCCCCATAACCACCCTGCAGACAGTGTGGGTTTTCACAGTTTACACAAGAACAATACTGCATTGGTATCACAGTTTACATAAGAACAATACTGTAATACTTTACCATGGCATAAGTCAGATACATCCCTGTCTTGAGGTGGTTATGGGGATATAACTCCCTCTAAACATCAAAGGTTTCCATGGTAACCACCCACGCACCATGGTATAAGTACATGATAAAAGAATCATTTAAATTGCTTATAATAGTCATTTAACCATTGCTATATTTTTTGTACATGC